ACTTTCTATCTAGTCAGATGATCGGAAAGAGGAAGAATAAGGAAAGGGAAGAATCAAGGAAAGAAAAGGAGAAATGTCTCTAGCTTATTAAGTGAAAACTTCTCAAATACGTCTAATAATCGAACTTCTAAATTATTTCCTCTGCTCTGAAATGTATGTTTTAAATGAATGAAATATATTTATTTGGAACTCAAGTTTGCCTGGAAGTTCTGACTGAAAGGTTGTTCACATTTTTTAAGCTTTTAATATTTATCACCATTTATTATTCATGAACATTCTGTGAACAACAGCGGTGTTTAAATACAATTATTTTTTAAAATAGAGAATTTGCTATTGGGGGAGGGGAAATCTCATCCCAGGTTGTTTTCATGTTTGAGATTGAACAGTTGTCATTTGCTCAATAGCCATTTTCAACTGTGTCTAAATTTTACATTTCATCCTCTGAGAATTGATGTATTTTTCTTTGTATTTTAGATATGTTTCTTGTATTATGTTATTATAATAAGGGATAGCACAGATAAAAACAAAGAACAAAACCCTAAAATTTCAATACCCAAAGATAAGCACTGGTGACATTTGAACCATAATAATCCAGAAATGTGTGTATGCTTATGTATGTGTATAAAATGACTATATGATAGATAATCCATGTATATATAGATATAAAATTACATCAACATGACTGTTACTTGACCACTGTTAAAACAACCATTGATATAGTTCATTCTAGTTGCTAATCTATGTTTTATCCTGTACAAAGATGAGGGATGAGGTTGTTTATAACTCTTTTGTAATCAACTAAAAAAAAAATCACAAGGATTTTTTTTTTAAATAATCTATGTATCTTCATTGATTTGGGGGTACTTTTAGGAAGCTTTTATGCCTCAATGTTATAAAAGATGCTGTATTGAACATTCATAGATATACAGCTTTCTGCATTTTTTTTCTTTTTTCTTTTCCTATGGAGAAAGACTCTTGAAGTGGAAACCCTGGGCTAAACAGCAAGCTTTGGTGGTAAAGAAGAGGAGCTTTGACTATCTTGCAAATAGCCCACTGACTTAAAACAGAATTAAGCTTAAGTTACCAAAGCAATGGTCCATAATTTACTTTTTGCATATCCACTGATTTAGTTTTTGTTTTGTTCATTTATATACTGAGATGCAATACTGATTTATTCCTAATTTAAATTTATGTAACTAATAATGAGGTTGATGGTGTTTATATATCTCTTGGTCAGTTGAATTTGTGTTGTTTTTTTTTTTTTTTTTTTTTTTACTTTGCAAATTGCCCTTTCCTCAAGCCAAAGACATGTTCTCCCTCCATACCAGGTAAACTAAGCAACCAACACAAGAAACAGAGTGTTCCCATAACCTGGTGTGAGCACAGTGGGTACCTCCTGACTTGAGAGCATGACTCATGGATTGAGCCCAGTTCCCACCTATGGTTGGGATGCCAGGTCATTAGTATGGCAGCCTCTGCTTTATTTACTAAACGAACCCAGGACATTTATGAAAGGGAATTATTCTGCAAGAAATCCCTCTTTTTCAAAATTTGAAGCTAGAGAGGGCTTGAAGAGTTGGTTCCATATGACCACTCTCTCTCCTCCTCCCAAACAATAATGTGCACGGGGAAGGAATAAAATTACATTGAGAGGGGCTGCTAGGCCGGTAATGCAGGCTCCACAAAAGTGTCCAGTGTTTTATTCAGGGCATAGCGGGGGTGAGTGAATACTCTATAGTAGTTACCCAAAGGAGGCAGCTTTCCTAGACTCAGTAAATATGGTGCAGTAGATTGTGCTTTTGAGAATAAAATTGAGCCAAGGAACAGGAGAGAAATTGGAGTAAACGACCCAGGCTTTTGTGCAAGGGTCATCGGTGTGAACTGAACAGAAACTGTATAGTGTGTGGTTCCAGGCTGCAGACAAGTGTGGTTTGTTGAGCTGGGCAAGCCAGTCATTTGTGGGGACATTTTATACCAGTGAGAAACAGTATAAGTTTGGGCCACATGGAATTATGGTTCTGTCTCCATTTTATGTTTGGAAATAGTCCCAAAATCTTTTGATTAGATTCCAAGGAATTTTAGACATCTAACTGTTTCCTGTATTTCTCTATTTTCCCACCATTTATTTGCTGGTAGGAGGACAGACTCTAGGGATAAGTCATTTGAAGATGAAGATATACATTGCAAAATAAAAGGACAAAAAAAGAGTAAAAGCCAGTCTTTGAAAAGACAATATTAAAAATAAATATCCTGACCAGGGAACAAAAAGAAATTAGGAAGACATACTGAATATTAGGGATGTAAGTGTGTGTATATGTGTGTGTGGGGGGTGGATAATTAGACAGCAGAATGCCTTTTGTCCATCAATGTAAAAAAATAAAGAAGAGATAAAATTCTTTTAAAAATATAACTGGCCATAATAGACTTAAAATAAATACATGACTTAAATAAAATACCTAAATAAAAGACAAATAAATAGAACTACATAAGTAGTTAAAATGTTCCCACAAAGAAAACACAATGGCCAGTTTGCTTTATAACTGAACCTCACATCATCTCAATCTTAGGAAAACTCTTCTAGAGAATATAAAAATAGATTATCCTCAACTTATTTCATGTGACAACTATGTTGACTTCAAAATTAGACACTGTGGGATGAGAAAAATCATAATTACAAATGCTGATGCAAACATCCTACATTAATTATTAACAAATTCAATTTAGTGATATGCGCAAATATCATAAAACACTGTCAGGCTGGTTTTATCATAGCAAACCAGGTTTAGTTTAATCTCAAAAGAAAAAATATATATATAGGTTCACATAATACACTACATTTGTAGATAAAGGCAACGAAATGTGACGATCACAATAAATGCAGGAAAGGCATTGGATAAATCTCATGCATGAATGATACAAAGTTCACTTATCAAACTAGGGGGAGAAGGGAATACTACAGCCTGATAAGATGATTCTGTGAAATACACACCACACAGGTTTTGCTCAGAGGCAAGATGTGGAAGCACCGCATTGACATCAGAATATTTCAAGGACATTTACTATCACCAAGCCCATTCAGTATTTGATAGGCAGTCCTAACCAAATGCAATAAGAACAGTAAAAAGTTATATAAGATGACAAGGGTGGAAATACAATTCTCGTTAATGACAGATTACCAAACCATCTACGTAAGTGTTACAAAACAATTTATAAGTAAAGTTTTAAATTAGAAAGAGGATCTGATGTCCCTGATACAGTATAAATACATTAAAGTCAATTGCATTTTCTATATACTAGAAACAATTAGAACAAATATTAAAAATAAATATCATCAGCTGTAATAACAAATATATAGTGCTCAGATTTTAAATCCAACAAAGATTTTTTTTTTTTTTTTAAAATAAAATCTGTTTAATCTTCTATCTCATTGTCTTCTCTGCTTTGCTGGTATAAGGATTTCTTGGGTATATCTTTTTTTCTTTTTTTTTTTTTTTTTTTTTAAATATTAAATTTTATTTTTATATTCCCCCATACAATTGCAAACCCCCCATTCTGAACCCAATCCTTCCCCTCCCGCCCCCCACCCCCCAAAAAGTGTCTCTGGTTCATAGTTTTTTGTTGATTTTGATTTTCACTTTCTTATATTCATTTTCCTGGTCCCTTATTTAAGTTTTCTAGATTCCTGCTATGAGTGAGACCATCCGGTATTTTTCTTTTTCTTTTTGGCTTATTTCGCTGAGCATGATCCCTTCCAGTGCCATCCATGTTGCTGCAAATTGCATGTGTTTATCTTTTTTGAATGCTGAGTAATATTCCATGGTATATATGTACCACATCTTCTTGATCCAGTCATCTATTTTTGGGCATTTGGGTTGTTTCCAAAGCTTAGCTATTGTAAACAGTGCTGCTATAAACATAGGAGTGCAGGTGCTCTTTGGAATTGATGTTTCTGTGTCCTTTGGGTAAATACCTAGGAGTGGAATTGCTGGATCATATGGAAGCTCTATGTTTAGTAGGTCCAGAAATCTCCACACAGCTCTCCATAGTGGTTGGACCAGTTTGCACTCCCACCAACAGTGCAGAAGAGTTCCTTTTTCTCCACATCCTCGCCAACATTTGTTGTTGCTAGTTTTTTTAATATGTGCCATTCTCACTGGTGTGAGATGGTATCTCATGGTAGTTTTGATTTGCATTTCCCTGATTACAAGTGATGTTGAACATTTTTTCATATGTCTGTTGGCCATTTGCATTTCCTCTTCAGAGAAGTTTCTTTTTAGCTCTTCTGCCCATTTTTTGACTGGATTATTTTCTTTTAAATCCAACAAAGATTAACAAGCATTATATACAAGGAGGCTATCTCATGCTCATGAACAGGGACTAATTAATGTAAAGAGGTCAAGTCTCGAAAAGTTGACATAATGCTTTCACAATCAGCATGTGTTATTCTTTCTTTGCTTTGGGGAACTGTAAACTAATTCTAAAATGCATATGGAAGAACAAAATCTTAAGAAGATCTAAGACAAAATGAGACAAAAAATAATAAGATTGGCTCTGCCAGATCCCAAGGCTAACAAAAAGACCATTGTCATTGGCATAACCAGATTCACCAGTGGAGTAAAGTAGGGGGGTCAGAAATCGACTAACAAGGGCCAGGGTGTGATGGGGATGGCATCCCCGGTGAGTGGACAAGAAAAGGTTATTCAGCCCTTAGAGGCTCCGGAAACAGGTGATCCATACAAGAAAAAGAAAAATCTTCTAATAGAAACAATTAACACAAATCAGATTAAATAGTTAAATGTAAGAGACAACTCTGGGACGCAGATGCTGAAATGATCTCAGTGAACAGTCTCCTGGTCCCCAGGCCCTCGGGTGCCTCCTTTCCCTGGGGAACCGGTGAGACCCGCACCCTGCTTCTGACCTGGGGTGATTGGGTGTCATTTCTGTGATAGGCTAATGAACCCCGTTCTCTGTTGATTCTCCCCTCCTGGTTTTCACAGAGCAAACGGCCATATGGAGAAACCCAGATGGCAAGTGATGAAAGGTGAACTCCAGCCAACAGCTAGGAAAAAACAGGCTTTCAGTCCAGAGCTCACAAGGAACCGAATCTTGCCAGCAACCAAGTGAGCCTGGCACCAGTGCTTCTCCAGGTGAGCCTCAAGGGGACAGGTCCAGGCCAGCAACTGCAGGGCAGCGTGGGAAAAGTCTGCACCCATGACCCCTGATGCCTGGATTCTTGACCCACGAAACCGTGAGATAATCAATGTCTAGTGTGTGAAGCCGTTAACTTGGTGGCAATATTTTATGCAGCAATGGATCACCAATTTAAAAAAAAAAATCCCTGCTTAAAAGAAAGTAGAGAATATTTCTAGTTTCAAGACCTTGGGAAAAATTCTTTAATAATATGCGTTTTTAAGAAAAGTATAAATAATGAAGGAAAACACTGACATACTGCTTCCTTTCATATTAGGAACACCTGTGTCTCAAAATCACAAGAGTCACAGTATAAAGACCATGAAAATATAAGCCAAGCTATTCACAGCACATCCAACCACAAAAGGATTAGTATTCATAATATATGAAAAACTTCAATGAATCAGAAAGAAAAGCCCAAAAGAAACAATGGATTAAAGACTGAATACGGGTTTCATTTCACGAAAGAGGTAAGAAACTAGGAAAAGTTAAGACTATTATATATGTGTGTGTGCGTGCACACACAGGTGTGTATATAGTCTATGCCGTTAATAATCAGATAAATGCAAATAAAAACAAAATTGTGACAGTTTCACCCTATCACACAGGGAGATATCCCAAGTCTGAAAACATCAAGTACAGGAGAAAATTTTGAGCAACAGAAACTTTCTCTAATGCTCCGAGTATCAATTTGTATAGGCAATTTGGAAAATAAGAATTTGCATCATCTGGAAGAGTTGAGGATGTAAATATTCTATTAACCCAGCACTTTCAAACCTACATAGATATGCAGGAAGGAGAGTGGGGTGAGGGTGAATGAGAATATTCTGGGCACAAAGAAAGCACAATAAAATGCTTATAAAACTGCATCCTCACACACAAATAAGAATTTTTATGAAAGCAATGCTTGAATTTGTAAAAATTAGAAATATTCCCTAAATACATCAACAAAATAGATGAAGTATGGTATGATCAGATAATGACATATTCATTCATATAGATGTTCTCTAGATGGTCTGATGACATGTTCTATTCATATAGAACGTTGCCATGTTAAAAAGAAGTGATCTCCACCTATAAACATCAGATAAACAAAACATTAGATTAGATAAACAAAACTTTGAGCACAATAAAAGCAAGTTACACAAGAACATATGTCACAGTTACATAAAGTGAAAAAAATATGATACGTTGATAAAGATAGAGACATATATGTTGGAGTGAGGAGAAAAGGAAGGAAACAACAAACAGAGTCCAGGATAGATGTTACTCTAAGATCATTGTGGGGGGGGGTATATGATAATGGAGGATTTAACTATTGTTCATTGCACATTTCTTATGGTGGATGATGGGTTACGCTCATGTTGATGTTATTCATGTAATTTAGACCTTATATGAATTCAGCGTATTGTAGAGTGTGTGAGGATATAACATCTGAATCAAAGTCCCATTTTCAGCCTTAGACAGTTATCAATACCATAGAGGAGGGCTTCCAATTTCCCAGCTACAGGCAGTACATTGATTCAGTCACCATATTAGTGTTGTCCTCTGTATATCCATAATTCCCAGTTTAATAAGGGGGGTGGGGCAGCAGAGCTGGCCTATGCAAGGATCAATACTAGTGGTTTCTAATTTGCACGCAGTGAACCACAGCAAGGGAGTAGACATCAATACCCAAGAAAAACCAAGCCCAGAAAAGGAACCTCTCTCTGAGGGGTATGTGCCCTGTGACCCGAGGTCTATGGCACTGGTTTCCCATGCAGGTGTGGACTCTCTTGCACTGGAAAGCTCAGTTTCCAGCGGGAGGCTCTGGAATTTGCTCCTGAGTCCCTACCTACCACCATGGGAGATAAAGTACTGGAGATTTTAACCCAACTCAAAGAGTATGTGTGTGTATGTGAATTTAATAAAAATATTCTCTGTAGATCACATTATTTTGCTATAATCCCTTGATCTGTATGATGGTAAGATGAGCAATCATTATATATGCAATTTGGATATGTACTTCTGACTGATTTCCTCTGACCCATCATAGCCGTGGAGTAAATGTAACATTCACACATAGTCTTAGGTATACCCAGCTTTTATGCACGGATTATAATAAATGAAACACATTAAAGTAGAGTAAGAACACAATGGTTATAATACAGATGACAATTACAATCTACAAATGAAGCTATGCCAATGTTATGCTCGATGTTACACAAATGGCACTTTTAACAGAGACTAACATCTGGAGTAATAACACCATACTTGGATTCAAAAAGGTCTGTATCTCAATAAAACAGAAATATGATATGCTATAGAAAAACTGAAAACATGGCTTAGAAATGAAGACATTGAAGTTGACATGAGAGTTTGAATAAATTTGATTTTTGAATATGTACATGAGATCAAGCAGTATATCCAAACCAAAATATATAGTGATTTTACATGTTTGTACAATGCAATTAATATATTAAATACTAAAATAGATATTATTAGGCCTATATATCTTAACTATATATGTTGAAATTATCTGAAAATATTTTTAATACCTTCTCATTGGGAAAATGACCTGCCACCAAATGGGTTTGGGCACATATTCATATTCTCTCTCTCTCTCTCTCTCTCTCTCTTTCTCTCTCTCTCTCTCTCTGTGTGTGTGTGTATAAATACATATGTACATATCTACAATCAATATCACTTGAGGATTTGCAGTGATCACAAAGAGGAAATAAGTACCTTTCTATTAATTTTCACACGTGATTTTAGTTGACCCTGGCATCAACTTTGAGACAATTTTACAAATGAGGAGGAAACAGAAATCTAAAACGTAAAAGCTTACCTAAGATATCATAGCTGTATTTACTAACCTAGGAATTCAGTTTTATCTAATTTCAAATCTCATCTAATATAAAAAAGTGTCACAAATATAAAATTTTAAGAGACTGTCCCCTTCAAAGTAAAGAAGAAAATGGGGGTGAATCACAAACAGGACAAGGGAAGAACCCACCGTGCGTGTTGGGAACAGAGAAAAAAACACTTGCCGCTAAGTAAGAGGGAAGTTTGTCTAGTTCTGATGTGTCTGCAACCACGGACCTTGCTTTCCAGGCTCAACAGCAGGGGCGTGTAGCTGTCTGATGCCTAATGCCGGGTGAAAGAGAAAGGAGTAACGATCGAGCGTATGATGCACCCAAGCAAGCTGCTGAGCGCCGGTGAGCCCTGAATTAGCCAGGGGCCCAGGTTAGTGGTTGGATATGAAGAGCAAAATGCACCTATTTTGTTTATATGGGGCCAACTTTTATTAACTGTGCTATTTTGATGTATTCATGTGGGTGTCTCATGAAGCAACTGCATCCCTTCTTGGTTCTATTATGTATTCTTGCAAACAAAGCCTCCTTTAATCATTTTATCAACGATCACATTGAAGCTCGCATTGAAGTAGTACCATATAATTAAAACAGCCATATTTAAAAATTCCAAGCAGCTCAGATCTACAACAAACCATCTTTCGGAGCAAGGTGAGAGGGTAAATGACTCCATAATTAAAACCAGATAAATGCCAACGTAACTGAGGCAGTCATCTTTTACCACCGTGTTCAGGGTTTGGCACATTATTTGCATGGTGCAATTAAGAAGAAGTGTCTTTTGCCTTGTCAGAGAGGGGTACCCAATTTAAGGGGGGATTAGACAGGCTATATTGCCTTTATCTGTGAGGAAAGGCAGGTGCTGGGAGCGGAGCTGACTTCCAGAAGGAGTAACAGAGCACGCCATGGACGGCTCGGGTGCGTGAGCATTTGCTGCATGAAACATGGAAACGGGCATGAAGCTCAAGTGTGGAAACAGCAGAAGACAACATGGGGGAGAACAGCATGTATCTAGGACCTGTGAAACACGGCGTGCCAGCTAACACGGCATGCCAGCTAAACGTGAAAGGAACATGACATTTCATCCCAAAGGCATCAGGGCAACCCTCCTCTCTTCTCCTGCCTGCCTGCCTGGCTTCCTTCCTTCTTCTCTATGGTAAAGACAGATTGTTTCCTAAAGTAAGTCCTATTTAAATATATTTGTGCATCACTGACTTGCTGAGACTATTCACTACCACCTGGGGCAGGCTTCTCTGTACAAGGAGTAGAGTGAGCAGCAGAATAAGGGGGGTGTTTTTTGTTTTGTTTTGTTTTTTCCGTAGAACTGGGGTATAGGCCAGATTGGGGAGGGTGCGAGGATTCACCCGAGACAGAGTGGGGAGCAGAACAGGCAGATCTACTGAAACACTGCTGAGGGGAGCAGCGGGGAGACAGGAGAGGTCTCCTAGGCCACCAGGGAGGCCCAGAATAAGCTATGAATGAGGCCGACTAGACTGGACTACACTGTCCAAGGGGTGAGTCTCACGTGTTTATTCTCTCCCGCCTCCCCTGTACTGACGGCCCGTCTAGCCTCAGGTGGATCAGGCAGGCACAGAAGGGAGAGTGGGGCCTGGATGAAATCATGTGCCACCTTCCTGCTCTCACCGCTGCCGCTGGTCGGCGCACACCAGTCAGGCCCCGCTCACACTGTTCTCCTCAGGGCACCCCTCGGGATTTCCTTGTTAGAAGCATGTGGGGGTGGCTGAGTGAGTGGGCTGGGGAGAGATCAGGGCCAGTTGATGAGTTCTGTCTGCTATTCTCCCTGCATGGATGCACTAGGGCGCCATAATCAAAGTCCAAGAACAGGTGGGAAATGTACCTGACCTCACCAACTGTAAGTCCCTCACCTGATGAACCCCCATTCCTCATGAGCGCCCTGTGGGGGAGGAATCTCTGTTTCCTAGGGAAGAGAACACTTCGGGGTGCCTGTCCGTGAGTAAGCACCACCTGGCAAGTCCCTGCGCTCCTCTCCTGGATGAATTTCTACTCATTTGGAAGCCTCGAGGGCCTCCATTCCTCACAAGGCGGGGTCACAGTCAGCTGCTCTCGTGCTCTTGTCTGAAGCCAGTAAGCGCCCTGACAGCAAATCCAAAAGGTCTGGCAAATGACGGGATTGATCGATGAATTATAAACCCAATCAAAATTCCTTCATGAAGTCATATTCCCTGAAGAGAAAATATGGGCTTCCAACATATCTGTAAACTAGACACATGTAGAGTTGTGAGTGTTATGATGTCACACACGAATACCTTCTGGGTCATTCTGTAGCACATATGAAGTAACTCATGATAGATTCCTCTCCCTCTTTCAGAAAGGTCTACATTGTGCCACACCTGGACTTTCCCCACTTAGAATGTCTCAGGTAACCTGTAAGAACCTTCTTGTTAGTGAGAACATGAGTGAAGATCTTAACGGTGCGGGGTGGGAGGTGAGGGAGAAAGTGTGCACAGGTGCTTGGTAGAGAGAGCTCTTACCATTGAATCAGTTGGGGTGATGTATGTAGAAAAGTGAAATAGAGGGAGACCCAGATAGAGACATGGCGCTAGTGCAGGAAACAGAAGCCAGGGCTGCGTGTCACTGAGGGAGCAAGTTGAGTGGCTGCTATGGTGGGACCGGGTGTCATCTTCAACTTGTCCCAGATTCCCCGACTTCTGCCTTCTCACTTCCAAACAAAATCCTAACAGTTACCCAGATACCTAAGGAAGAGAGGACTATTACAAAATTACCCGAGCCATAGCCAAGTTGCTTTTAATGTATTTATTAACAGAAGAGCTTTATTATACATATAGTTCCAATAACCGAGTTGATAATCTTCAGTCAGTTTTCTTTGCTACTGACTGAGCAGGTGTGGGGAAAAAGGCTTAACAAGGACAGAACCCACCACGGCTTGGAAGTGTTGGCTGAACCTATCTTCTGGAAATAGAATCAATTAAACATGTATATGTTCTTTGGACTAAATAAAACATAAGCTCATATAAAGTATAGCTCAAGCATCTGCAAGTTAGAGGACACTAGAATCTGCTGTTTCAAATTCTAATCATCCTTTTTGCAAAAACTCACCATTTAGTTCTTAGTTGCCTTCACAATTCATTTTAGATACATTAGTAGACATGGTTTGGTCAACAATTACATCACCAGTAAATAGCCCGCATAGTCAATTCCTTGGTATATTTTAGAATGCCAGGTGCCCTTACCTCTGGAACTGGTGTCAGAACATATTGCCTCCTCTTTGCAATTTTTTCCTTAAGTGAATCAGCAGAAATTTTTTTCTAATAGCGACCAGAATTAATCAAGCCAATCAATTAGAATGATTTAAAATCACCGTTCATGTTTACTCATTACAGATAATTGAATGTGCTAGAAGCTATCTATTAAGGTGGTCTAGGATCACTGACGATGGACCAAAAAGTTCTGATAAATGAAATCTATGGAAAGTAAACTGCAGCGGGGAGGGGCAGCACCCCTACACAAGGGAAAGTGTTAACACAATCAGTGTGGAGTCTTCTCTGAAGACATGCGAGGGCACTGGCAGGTGTCTGCCACGCTGGGGAGTCTTGACAGCTCATCCTTGTTGGCATGTATTCATTAATTCTCTGGAAAGAAAGCCAATCGCGTGCCCAATTTGGGGTCTAGGTCTAGTGTCTGTATCCTGTCATCTCCTTAAAACTCGTGCCCCCGTAGGTTTCTATAAATTAAAGCACGTTCAGAGATTGATCTTCCTTCTCCTGAACAGACTGTCCTGTCTTCTCTCCTCTCTGGCATTTTCATGACCATAAACTCAACTCCAGAATCATGTTTTTCCCTTTCATTCCAAGTGACATTTCAGACTTTTGAAAACTAGATTATTACCACCACAGCTACATTACTTTTGTCAGCAAAATGCAGTCATGCTGTCAAGATTTCAATTTAATAAAGACTTTAGATCTAATTAGACCCACATCTGGAGAAGTCAATGAAGATAAGAATTTATTTCAGAGAGGACATCTTGTAACTGCTGCCTTCACAAGCATCACATAATGAATATCACTCATTTATTTTCAAGGTGATAAAAAGAAGAGCAGAGGCTACCGGGATAGTTCCAAGAGCAGCACCCTAAGACCGCAGGACCTGGACATGCCAGCGTCAGTCCCCTTCGATACCCAGGTTACACTAACCTGGGGGCCCCGGGGGAACAGACACTTGTACACCTGAAGGCCCTGTCACCATGCAAAGCATTCTCCAGGGCATTGCAAATGGTCTCCCCACTCCAGCAAACTCCCCCGGGGTGAGTACAGAGACCGGGAAATTTACCTGCAGGGCCACTTGGGGGTGAAGCCGAGAACTCATCCCTTGCTTTGCTGCAATGACAGGGCCCTGTGCTGTTCCCATAGTCACTCCCAGAATGACTCTTTCTCCCTCCCCCGCCTCGGCCCGGCCCCTCCCCTCTCCCTCCAGGGCTGCAAGCCCTGCCTGTGAGCCTGGTTCTGCATAACGTTAAAAGCAAGGCCCGGGTGGCTCCGCTCTCCTGGCGGGACCCACACGCATTTGTAATTCTTACCTTGACTTGATCAGACTTAATACTCCTGCCAACCAGAGCCGTTTGATTTGATCTGATCGGAGACCACACATCCCAGGAGCCAAAAGCAAACACTGGCAGTCTGACCCGTAATGGAAATAGTGTTATCGTCCGTGTAGCAATTTTACATGCTGGCTGATAACCCTGAGCTAGAAAGAACAATCTTCCTCGAGAAGAAGAGTACAGATGCAGGTCTTCCGTCTTCCTACCCACCTGTACGAATACAAGAATGATTTTCCTTCATTTCCACAGTGTAGAGAAAACAGTGACAGCTGTGGAAGGCAGGAAGGGGGGTTTCTGTTTGGGGGGGGGGTGTCAGTGGGCTACACTCACTCTAATGGAAGAGAAAGCATGACAGGCAAGTTGGGGTAGCGGGAATGTAACGCATCCAGGGCTTTATCACTCTGGAGGCACATTTTGACATAATAACAAACTACTGAGAAAGAACCACTTTTATCTAGGTCAGAGTGACAGACTCCCGGGTGCTAGAGAGCTGGGCGGACGCGTGGTTTGAACCATCAGGGAAGACAGCAGCCCCGATTCTCAAGTCCACGCTGCCTCCCAGTCTTTGATCATCCACTATTTTGCAATTACTCCACTGGCTGATCACGGCCTAGCGTTTTGATTTCAGAGATGACCAAGATAAAACACACCCCATTTTATGACGGCTACACTTCTAATAAGATGCAGATGGTAAAGGAAACAGATGCCTCTGACATCATCTCCCGTTTGCCTTCAACTTCTGCAGACACTGGCGGTCTGTGCACTCTTTCAAAGGGATGCAAGAGAAGTCAGGCAATTTTCCAATTCTGTTTCCAGTCCAAAAAAAAAAAAAAAAAAACCCCTCGCAGCAGCGGCCCAGCTTGCTTTAGTCATCCAGTGATAATTCCACAAAAAGAAATTTGATTCTAAGTCTGTGTCAAGCTTTGGTGCAAAATTAATCACCATGGGGAAAAAAAAAATCCCCACAAATATCAAGAGTTTAGCAATTAGTAAGTGCTGACTGTTTTTGCAAGACAGTGACAGAAACGACAGGACAGGAGGAGCGTGACAGGGAGCAGCTGCGGCTTCAAGGAGGACAAGAGTTTTAACAGGGAAGCAGCAAAAATGCTCCATGTGCCCCTGGCTCCCAGATTCTTCAGAGACTACAGCCTTCTCAGTAAAAAACTTGCAGGAGAGCTTTTTTGGGGCACTGATTCTGACCTCAAAAAAAGAAAAAAAAATCATTCTGTATTCCCATTTCTATTTCCCAGATGAAATCCTGGTGTTCTGATAGGCGCTTGCACCATTTCCCCAGAGACGGCACCGGGCATTGCACACACTAGTGTTTATATGGGCGTGTAAGGTGAGTGTGTCAGACGTCCTTGTCAAACAGATAAGGGACTTCAGCAGTCAATCTTAAAAACAAGAGTTGCGTGAGGGAAGCCGCAACCAAGGCCTACAGCAGTGTTTGAGGTTGAGACAGAAGAGCAGTGACAGATAAAGGCAGGTTAAGAGGAGAACCTTCCCGAATGTCCCTTCTCCCCAGACCCCCCCGTGATAGAACTTCACCAACGCTCTGGAGCAGAAATATTTTTGCAGAAAAAATTTCAGAAGCAAAAGCGAGGATCATGGTAACATAAAAATAAATCCTGCTAGCCCAAACATGGTACCTATTTTTAAAATAATCTCTGTGCAAGTAACACGCTGCGCACACACATACACACACACACAATCACACACGCCGTACAAGAATAAACAAACACTTCTAATCCATAGCCACAAATTGGGTGGGAACGCGTTAGTGCAAATTTCTGCCGACCTGCAGCATTTAGCCCCTAAACTTTGGATACCCCAGACGATCCATGAGCGTCCAGCAAATGTTTTCGATCAGTTTAATTTCCTCTCTAGGCAAGTTCTGTCTCCAAACATTAGTGCTCGTTGGTGATATTTCCCCTTCGTAGGGAAGATAGAAAAGGTTCGTGGAGGTGGCAAACAATATTTGGTTTAAACTAGCAGGAGATAAAGGAATTCCAAGAAAGGCAAAAATCCTTTCAGTGGTTTTCTGAGGAAAATGCACAATATCTTCAAACTTGATCAGCTGGTAGCTGGTGGGCCTTAAGTCTGCGTTTATTCTCAGGGCGGCTGCTGTGTTTGCCAGCCACAAATGCGACAGCAGGGAGACTGCGTTGGACCTGGAGTTGGACAGTTCTTTCCTCAACGACTCGTACTCAACAGCGTAGCCGGAGTGGATGCTGCATCTGCCTTTACCTCCCTCTATTTTAAACAATTTACCTAAGTGCTCCGGTACATTCTTCAGAGAGTAAAGACTCGGCTTACTACCGTACAGCATTGAATAAACCCACGCCCGAGGGTCCCTCACTACGTATAACGCCCTCGTGGAGGCTCCTAAAACTTCTTGGAAAAAATGAAGCTTTAAAGTCCAGCTCCCACTGCTTAGGCTGAGCACAGGCCGGGCGCTGGGGTAGAAGACCAGGTGCCTCCTCAAAGCCCTAATGTATTCAGCATCTCTGTCAAAGGCGCCTTTCATCCGACTTCTCTGTTCGGGCAAAGACTCTCTCCTTTTCAGTTTTCTTTTCTTGTCCTTATTCGCTGCAAAATACTGCGCCAGCTTTCCCCTGCTGGGTTCGTGCAGGTGGATGTTCTGCAAGTGCAGCTTCGTGTCCTGGACCAGAGACTGCAGCCAGCCCCGGAGCAGGCGGAACCGCGCGCCGTGGACATCCGAGGCTCGCCACTCGCAGGCGTCCACAAACGAGCCCAACTCCAGCTCCGTCTCCGGGATATCGATGTAGGCCGTGGGCACCCTGATGTACAGAAAGTCGCTGCTGTTGAAGAAAAGCTGTTTGAGAATTTCAGCTCCCGACCCCGGAAGGGAGGCGATGACAACATCAGGAAGGTCAAGGTGGCGGCCCTCGGGGGACGGAGCCTGGGCGCCGGCCCCGGCCTCTGCCCTCGTCCACTGGGCACAGATGGGCTGGGTGCACGTGGTCCACACGTCCAGCAGCTCGATGAACCACAGGGCGATCACGAGGATCAGTATCCAGCGCATCATCTTCTTAAAAGAAAGGTAAAAGCGCCACTGACAGGTCAAAATCACCAAGCTGATGCACAGAATCAACCCCACCGCTATATTAAATTTAAATCCGAAGGGGAAGATAACGCTGTCGCGCCTCACGGGCTTCACGACGGCTTGAGTGCCCACCCCGAACCGGGTTATTTGGCCCTGATCGGCCACACTGGCAAAGCCACCGAATCCCAGGTAATCGAATCTCGCCTTGAGGCTGGGGTAGTCTGTTACCATGGAAACGATGTGCTCAGTGTTATTGACATGAAGAGAAATCTGGAGGCCGGCGTGGGAGTTATCAATGAATCTGCAGCCGGAAACATTGACATAGGGCCCGTAGAAGACATACGCGATCCTCGTGACGGTGGCTTCCACCTGGAAGGTGACGTTCACAAACTGAGTCCACCGTTTCTTAAACTCCGCAGCCTGCTCTGCCTCCTGGATGCTGGCCACGGGGCTGCTGCCGTGCTGATCGAACCAGAACATCTTGTAGTGCGCGTCCCACACGTCCATCATGGCCCCGTTGTACCGGCCCATGAACTTGTACGGGATGTACTTAAAGTCAATGTCCAGATTATGAAAGAAGGCACTGACAGACTTGATCGGGGAATCCTCTTGCCGCTCCACGTGATCAACCACCAGCAGCGTCTGGGAATTCAGGAGAAGCAACGCACGATACACACTCTTCAGTTTCATGGCCGAGGAATAGGCAGACACGGCTTCCCCACTCACGAACAGCGTGTCCCCGTGCTGCGAGGCGGCCACGATCTCCCCCGCGGCATCACCCACCTCCTCCCCGGTCCACTTGAGCCACTGTGCACACTCTCCCAGCTGGCCCTCCCAGGGCCGGTTGCACTGGCTCGTGGGTGACGGCGCGAAGACCAGCACGTTGTTCAGGTGGCTCAGCTTAGGTCCGTACAGAGCTTCGGACACAAACACTTGCCCGTTGGGGGCAAACGTGAATGAGTTCTGATCTGGGTGTTCGTGGCCTGGGTTAAAGCTCCGCCACCCGTCCACCCAGGAGTAGGGCTGGAAGTGAACTATGTCATACACAGCGCGCCCCCCCAGCTTCCCAGATTTAAAAGACACAAAGGTATTGGTCTGCGTATTCGGCAGCCCTGCCCCGTAAGTGACCACACCCCAGTTCGGGAACACGTGCATTTTGGCAGTACCGTGGTCGGGAGGCGGTTGCGGGGTGAGCTGGGGGTCGTACCAGATGTACTCGGTGTGCAGGGTGCTCCACCGCTGCGCCGTGGAGGGGACCATGGGTCCGTCCTTGGGCCGATGTTTCCTGATTTGCTGAGCCAGCCAGTTCCCCGCGCCGCTCTTCAAGACGAACTTGTCCAGAAAGACTAACTGGCTCTCCGGGCCGTAGAACCAGTTGTAATTGGAATCTGCGATCCCCACGGTTCTCTGGAAGCCCGGGAGGAGGGTGGCATAATAGAACCAAAAGTGCATTTTTAGCCAGTTGTTATCCAAGTTGTTGATGTTAAAATGGCGCTGGGCCAGAAAAACATACTGCGTGACCGACTTGGCCGTGTAGCTCCCGTAGGCCACGCCTTCATCCAGAGAGCCATCCACCACGTGGTTCAGCAGAAACATGGTCTTCTCCATCACGTCCACCACGGCCTGCTTCCACGCGTTCACCTGCGAGCCTTTGCCGGCCCCGGCCACCAGGGCCCCCGTGAGCAAGGCCAGCATGTTCGTCGCTTGGTGATTATGAAGCAGCTGTTTGCCCCACGAGCGGACTTTGGAATACTCGTACATTTCCTCCGTGACGAGCCATATTTTTTCCAGGTATCTCTGTCTGCGGGGATTATCTAACAAGTTATATAAAAAGTCAAAGGCAGTGGCAAAACCCGTCAAGGAGTGGCCGACGGGCACCTCGTCCCCCGGCGCGTTCTCCACCAGCCAGTCTTTGTAGCCGGCCATCCTGTCCATATACTCCAAGACAAATTCGAAGGCCACTCTGTCTTCTGGGCATAACAGACAGTACAGCGCTAACGGAGGCAGATTGTTGCCATAGATTTCATTCCACTTGGCAGCAAAGTCAGCATGCCTGGGTGGAGGTAGGTAGTACGTGGGGTTGGACAGCATGACTGTCACTGCACTTCTGATCGCTCGGAAAAGTTGCAAATGGCTCGTGCGAGCCTTGTGTCTCATTGCTTGGATCTCTCCGGCGTCAAAATATAAACTCGGATGAAGCGTACTTCTCGGAAGCTTGGGATGGGGCCTGAAATCTTGCACTTGCTGTGTCTTAAACGGATCCATATCATCTGTGAAAACCGCCCAGTCAGAGTAATTGCTCACAGATTCCTCAAAAGTCGAGAAAGCAAACACCGTTAATGTTAAAAATAAGGAATGTCCTGTGAACATCAGCGCCATGGCCCATGGGAGCGCCCGTCCTTAGGCAGACATGTCAAACACAGTGCTCAGCGAGGGTTCCATCTAGTTGGTAGAAAACATGCAGTTAAGGCCTTGATGAAACAAAGACAATAAATCATACATGTGCCGCCGCGTAGCTGACATCCGGCTCCTGCAAAGCAGGCCCAGTGGCCGAGAGCGAGAACGCACGCGGCCCTGTGTGTCCCTGACACGGTTGCTCGCAATGAAACTTCAAGGAGTGTTAAAACCTGCAAAGGGCCGAAGTCACAGTAAACAGGGATCTAGACAAGCACGCTGCATCTGGCATGGACTTCCTTTACATACATTTATCTAAGAGGATGAGTCAAAGTAAAAAAGAAAAAAAAAAAAGAAAAAGAAAAAAGATAAAAGATAAAGCACTCCAGGATGCAAATCAACAATCATTCCTAGAACAGGAAACCGGGGTGGGTGACAAAATAGCCATCAGGATGCAGGCTGTGCCCGCCCGGAGACGCTGAGGACGCCGGGGCGCTGCTGGCGTGGCCTTGCTTGTCATCCCTCTCAACTTTTCAGACTTCTCGCTTGGAGAATTGTGTCTTCTTCCGGCTCGGGGAGGAAAAGCTCCTCAACAAGTGTTCAGTGGTTCTAAAAAGAAACCAGCATCCCTGCCCGCATGTCCAATCTGTCTTTCCAGGCTTACTTGCTCACGGCCTGGCGAGACCCGGGTCGGCTGTCACGGGCTTCACCTGTCCAGCCAGCACCATCCAGCCTCCTCGGCCATCCAGGCCCGGCTGGTCCCCTGAAGCAGCAGCCACCGGCTGGGAAGGAAAACTCCCCTTTCACCACGCGTGAGTGCCGGCTCTTTTCTGTTCCTTTCCCAGGACACTCCTGTCTGGGGGGGGCGGGAGGGGGACAACACAAAGACATTCTCTGAGGTCGGGGTGCGCACACACCTGATGCCTTAATTCCCCAGCATCTCTTGATCCCCACGGGACCAGCCCATCTAACCTGTTATTAAGAATCACCTAAGTGAGCTCAAGGGATTGTCCCCCCGCCCGCGCCTCCGCTGTACTTTTAAAAGCATGCATTAAATGCAGCAGCGCGTGCTGACAGAGGACAAGCACCCCAAGAGAGACCCCGACAGAGTCTACACCCCAGCCGGGGCTGGCTCGGGCATCAGGCGATGCTGCTGCGCAGAGGCTGCTCCGCTGCTCCGGCCGCAGAGGACTCGGGAGGCGGCAAAGGCCCTTAATGGGGCCCGGCGGGGCCGGCTGGCCCGGGTCAGAGGTAGGGGAGCCCCTGAATCCCCAGCCCAGACTCTTGGGGGCCGCCGGCCGCGCGCACCTGGGCCCGGCCCGCGGCCGGCAGGGGGCGCCCGCGCCGCACTCGGGCCCCGCCGGGCCGGCGCCGCCACCAAGTTTCCGTCCCGGACGGTCTCCCCGCGGCGCCCCGGAGTTCCCCGCGCCCCGCCTGTTGCGCGTCCCGGCCGCGCCCCGCACGGGCGCCCCCCGCGCCCCGCCCCGGCCGCAGCGCGGGCTCGGGGGCGGGACACCCCCAACGGCCCGTGCGCTTACCTGTGGCGGGTCCGCGCGGGGCGCCCCGGCCGCGCCGGGCCGCGGGGCGCGCGCAGAGTTGGGGGGCGCCGTCTGCGCCCCGAGCCCGGCCGCGCCGCCCTCCGGCCCCGCGCCCCGTCCTGCGCCCGGCGCGCCCCGGCTGCGGCCCCGCGCCCGGCCCCGGCCCCGGCCCGCGGACACGCCCGCCCTCGGGGCGCCGCACGCGGAGGCAGCCGGGCGCGCAGCGCCGAGAGCCGAGGAGCCCGGTCCGGTCCGGCCCGACCCGACGCCGCCACTTCCCAGCCAGCTCCGCCGGGCCCGGGCGGGCGAGACGGCGACGCGAGCCGGGGGCGGGGCGGCAGCCGGCCGGGGCGGGGCCGGGGCGGGGCTTCGCGCCCGGGAGGACGCGGCAGGGGCGGGGTCGGGGCGGGGCTTCGTGGCGGGGGCGGACGCGGCCGGGGGCGGGGCTTTGGGGCCGGACTCGCCAGAGGCGGCGACGCTGGCAGGGGGCGGGGCGGGGGCGGGGCGGGGCGGGGCTTCGGGCCGGGGCGGGCGGGCCAGAGGCCACGACGCGGGCCGGGGGCGGGGTGGGAACCGGCTGGGGGCGGGGCGGGGCGGGGCCGGGGCGGGGCCGCGCCCTCCCGAATCCCGCGGCCGGGGGTCCAGCCCCGCGGCGGGCGGCGGCGGCGGCGGGGCGCTCGGGGGGCTGAGCCCGCGGAGGAAGCTCGGGAGCGCGCGGGTCTGCAGACCCGGCCGGGCTGCTCCGCGGGTCTCACCACGGGGGGCCGGGGAGGGGCCGCCGTGGCGAGGGGCTGGAGGAAGACGGGGTTCAGCGCCCGAGGGCGCGGCTGGGGCTGCGGGCGCTGCAGGCGGCCGCGGGGCGCGCGGGCCCGGGGCGGGCAGGACGGGCCCCGGCTGGGGTTGCCGTCGCCCGGGAGCGCGGGGCTGATGGGCCCGACTAACTGAGGCGCTGCGGGGCGCGGGGGCTGCAGAGCGGGGAGAAGCCGCCGGGGGTCCGGGCTGCCGCTGGCAGCGGGTCTCCAGCAGCCGCGTAGAAGCCGGTCCAGGGCGAACAAGCAGAGGAAGCTCTTGTTGAACCAGTGGAAACTCGCCTTCAGCGAAGACCCGGGGCCTGGTGGGGTGACAGTGTGCGGAGACCCGCTGTGCCTCCTGTGCTGGGCGCGCAGACACGTGGCAGGACACCTGTCCCGCGCCCCAAGCCTGACCTCAGCTGCCCACCTAGAGCTTGTGCATAACGGGCCTCCCCCCACACCCACCCCGCGGCGCAAGGGGTTAAGCACAGCACTCTGAAGCAATGCACAGCCTCTGCAGCAGGAGTTCCAGCCCCTGCCGGCCAGGGAGCTACCCACATGGCGCGGCAGACCTCTCCTGTCTCGCCCGCTGCTCCCCTCAGCAGTGGATTTCAGTGGATATGCCTATTCTGCTCCCCAATCTGTCTCTGGTAACTCCTCTCACCCTCCACCCTGTGCATCTCTGGCCTGTACCCCAGCTCTTGTATGCATAAATAAATAACTCTTTAATAAAAAAAAAAAAAGAGCTTATGCATGAGGGAATACACTGAAACCTCACGCATTCCCCAAAAGAACAAGGCCACCTGCAGTAGTTGGGGTTGGCGGCACCTCCAGTTTCCTCCTGGTCCATCCCGCTTTGCTCACTTGGGCAGATGTGTCCAGCACAAAGGGATGTGTTGCTTGGGTCACTGCCTGGTATTCCCAGAGAGCAGGTCGCTGCAGCCTGATGAACTTCAAAGACTTTACCTTGGAAGTGACGCGTGTCCACTCTGCTTCTTTCCCCCTTAGCAGTTCCACCCCAGCCCGAACGAGCAAACTTGCTTCAGCCCTGGCACTACCCTGACACGCTTCCCATTCTTCCCACGCGGTGTCCTGTGCCCAGCCATCCCGGGTCCTAGTTAGAATTCTGACCGTTGAGGTTTTCTCATCATCTTGGACTCAGCTCAGTTGCTTTAATTCCGCTGTAAACACCCTCTGGGTTTCCCTGGTCAGAATGGCTGACTGCAACGCCCCACGCTGTGTCGCTCTGTTCAGCCCTTAGATCATTTGTTTTGTGCTTAATACTTCACTTCGCTCACTCCTATGAGCTGGTCAAAACTCCTGGCCATGAGCAGTCCCTCGGTCCTTTGTAAGCACAGGATCCGTGTCTGAAATCCAGGTTTACTCGCTGGGCTCATGTAGAGCACCGTCTGCCCACTGAGCTTCATTCTGAAGTAAAGCTCTTCCTCTGAAGTCCAGAGACAGAAGTTCCTGGAAACATCCAGATTGTCTCCCTTGGTGGTGCCCAGATGGAGGAAGAGGACCCGTTTCTTGGTCTCATTTATGGGATCAAGTGGAGTTGGGGGAACGAGGAGCCCAACTCTAGAGATCCTGCCAAGAGGAGCTTTGGAGACTGTCTGGGGATCGGCGTGAGCAGAGACAGTGAATCCAGACGCAGGCCACTTCTCAGGACACACGGGGTTCTTTTGTTTTGGGGATCCGGAGCCCCTCATGTTACTAGAACCCAAGTGAATGGTGGAGAATCTGTGTGAGCACTAACATCTGCCGGGAGAATATTGTCACTTCATCCAAACTTTTGTTTTTCCCTTCCAAATTTACTGACGTGGAAATGATCGTTTCCTCTTTGCAGGTGAAGGACTTCAGGTGGAGCCGGCGACCTCTCAGCTCTGCCCACGCATCTGCGGGGAGCTGTGGGCCGCAGCTAACCGCAGTGCTTTCGGATGAGCTTTCAGGCTGACTCATTGTGGACAGCACCGTCTCACAGTTGTAAGTGCATTGGAACAGGGAGCTGCAGCCAATCACTGACAGAAAAGGTGGGAGGTAAGTGGCACCATGACAAATGCAGAGAGTCTTGTTTCCTGTGAACTAAAAATTGATAGCTCCAATTATTGCTCCTTCCAGACATGAAGACGGTACAAAGTGAGTTAATTATAAATAATGCATCCCACCATAGAAGGGAGGACCTATATGTTATGGGATTATACATTAAAAACCTTTATGAGTGTGGCAAGAGACGCATCTACCAACAGCTGCTAAATTCAGAATCCTGGAGAAGCAGCTTATTTTAATATAAGTGAAGTACAGTCTATCGCTCTGGGGATTCCCTGCTATATAAAAGGATCTTAAATCTACATGAGTTTTTATTGTTGATTTCAAAGCACTTATGAAAATCTGTTTTCTTTATTTGAATATCGCTCAAGCCTTTCCCCAGCTACTCTGCTTACCACCGAGATGGTTCTTTTTAGACTAGAAGCCCCCTCCCAGGGCACGAGCCTTCCTCCCTCCTCCTTGTTCTTTTGAATTCTTGAGCACCCAGCCCAGAGTCCAGTGCTGGGTGTCGCCTGCGTGTTGAATGCTGAGCGGGAATTATGGGGCTCATTTTGTGGCAGAGGGAGGGGGGCTGTGATGTGGAAAGTGGCCGCTGAGTTCGAAGGAGAATCAGAGACTCTTGTCCTTCCCGCCGTGCTGAAAGGTTGTCACTGCACAATTGGTAGTTGAAGCTATGTCTTGGGGTGACTTAATTCAAGTGACCCTAAAACTGGGAAGTCGGCCAAGATTTTAAAGAGAATTTCTGCAAGAAATTTTATGTCTTCGGATAAGTAAATTCAAGCCCAGAGCCTTTGAACATAAGGTAAATCCAGCATTGCCCTGCAGAAAGCTAAGCGCAAGCAGTAAAACAAGCCTGGGCCCTGCATCAAGGCCTGGACTGGAGTCTTATTGGTCTGTGATGTTCTCATGGGCTTCTAATAATTGGGGCAGGGAGACCCCGAATTAACTGCTGTAAATTCAGCACAGATCTCCAAGGATGGGCTTGCACAGACCTCAGGCACCTGCACCTGAGGACAGCTTCCTCCTAAAAAACCCCTTCCTTGATAAGGTGTTGGCAGTGACAGGGCTCAGATGCCCATTTCTTGATCCGCTTAGCCAAGCCAGATATGCATGGTATTGATCCACAAGCACTGCTGGAACTACTGTTTGCCAGGAGTTTGGGGATCTGGCTGCTGTGATTGTACAGCAGCAGACACCAAACCTAAAGCGCAAATTTTATTGCACAATTGGCCGGCAGTAATAGGCCACACCAATAATAAAGACAAAAGCACAGATTTAAAGCAGGCAGTGGAATCTGGAAATACTCCTTCTGCAATGGCTTTGAATACAAAACATCTCAAAATGACAGAGATTTTGCCCGCAGAGTTGCTAATGAAGATGCTGCTGCGGCCAGAGTGTTCCTTGAGTTTGTTTATCCAGCTGCATGGAGCCTAGGTGACAGTAACTGGATTTATAAAAATTTAAAAATACCAAAGCCAAGTTCTGAGGGAAGAAGTTTCCCCCTAAGTCCACTAAAACCTTATATTCGTAAATGGGGAGCTTTACCGCTACCACATCTGCAAATATACAGTTTTGCTTTTAGTATGAAAGAAAATTATAAACAAAGTGAAACTTACAAGGGGAACAGAGAGGTGGCCTTCCTCGCTCCCTCCTCCTGTGTCTCACACACACACACACACACACACACACACACACAGAGTCCTCTGCCTGGGGGCATTTACCCTTCCTGGGGGATTTGGTAAAGTCTGAAGAATTTAAGGTGAGGCAGCTTAAACTTTCAGACTCCTGGGGGAGGGGAGAGTGGCTGCAAGATGAAGGCAAAGATGCTGTTGGACATGGCGGGAGAGCCCCAGATCGCCCCAACTAAGAATTATCCAAGCCAGACCATCCATACCGCTGAGTCTGGGAAGCCCGGCCCTTGCCCTCTGACTTTCAAAATCGACCATGAGCGAATGGGCGGTGCTCGTTCAAGTCCAGTCCTGATGATCCTCTGGCCTCCCCTCGCCGCCTGCCCATCGTCCCGAACCAGCTCTTCCACCTCATGTGTGCACTCACGCCTTTCTGCTGCTTGCCAGGTCCCAGGTGCTTCCTTCGCGCTTGACCGAAGGCCCTCCACAGCCAGAGGCTCCCCCCCTGGAAAAGCCTGGGCTCCGCCTCCAGTCGCCCTGGCAGTAAAGAAGTGGCTGCCCAGCCAGAAG